GATTTATGCATCGGCTAGGGGATAGGTGACCGTGGATAGCAGAACAACCGCAGTAGTCCCGTATGCACCACCACAACATGCATCCAAAAACATTAGTTTGAATCCGCCTCTGCTGATTCCAATGGAGCGGCCAATTCTTGCAAATCGGTCTACAACAATACTATTCGTGGCCATCCAAGAAGGGCCATGACCAAGGCTGCCCATAAGAGGACCAACGAATAAAATTTCGCTACTTTTAGTGAAAAATCTGCCACATCCAGTAGATGATGGATATGATCTTCAGAGTAGGATTCCACCACAACCAATGAAAAATCCGCTGCATTCAGCAAGTACCGGATATGGTCTTTCTTCTGTGAAAGAACACCTTGCTGAAAAATTGAGTTAACAAGTTTCGCCAGTGGCAGATCAACCATAAGGGCAACAGAAAAAATGTACCAATGAATTCTCCAAGAGCTCCATATGCATTGGAGAAAGTGATTCAAAAAGCTTTCAGTAATGCACTCAAAATACTCGTAAGACCGCCATGCCAACGACGTGTTCCAGAATTAATTGGAGAGAACTGTCCACTTCCCCGGATGCGAGAATACTAGAAGGTATTCAATCATGTATTATCCAAACTAAACTATTATCTTCTCGACTTCCGCTAGGTTCCTTTGAATTTATGGATATCAGGCAGGCTTCCCAAAAATAGTAATCTTTTTTCTTTAACCTGAAAGTGCATGAACTTCATTTCTAAAATAGAATTCTACCACCAGCAAATCAACACAAGATATGGGATTGCAAAGGTACTTCCACTAACCACCGGTGACTTTCCAACATAAAAAATCCCTTCGCAAGGCATACTGGCAGAAAAAATTCAAGAGGATCAACAAAAAAATTAGCTTGGGATACATTTTTTCCCATACTTGTTTTCCGAAATTTTTAGTGGCGGAAAGAACCTTTAGAAAGTCAAAAGAAGTTGGGGGACAGATGTGTCATACAGTCTCTCAAATTAGTTCAAACAAAAAACAAGATTCTAATTCAGTCAATGGAAAAAGGGCTGCCTCAAGCTGACCAAGAAGCTTGATACAAATCCGTCGCCAATATCTATCAATACCGTCGGAATGCAACTCGATAAAACCCAGGCAGAAGCCCCATCCGTAGGTTGAAAATTTTGAAGGACTTCTTGGAGGGCCATATCCGAAGGACTAAGGCAATCGACCAAGCTTCAAAAGTAAAAACCAACCTTGAAGCAAAACAAGTATCATCTCATGATACGGTAGTGTACATAAGTTTCAAGAAGGACGAGAAAGTATGATGAGTCACATTGGTGAAGAAAAAGTGGTGATCACTCTCCATTCTACTCAACGGCCTAGACACCCTTCGATGGATGGAGGATGGATGTTGAACAAGCAGAAATAGACAATAACAGAAAAAATGGAGGATAGAGCATCAACGCCAAAAAGAGGTTGAAGCAAAAAGACCAACTCCAAAAAAGAAAATATAATGATATTTTCTATCCAAATTTCAAGATAAAAGTTGAAAATGGAAGAAGGTGCTTTGCGGAACTAAATTCAAATCCATAAAAAGTGGAGGCCAAAGCATAAAGTCTATGAATCTACTCATTCCGGTAGACTTCTCCTCACAAGTCAGCTGGAATTCCATATGACATTCCAAATAAACTTCCACCTTGTAATCCGAGCATATTTCTATATTGTCTTGCCGGTGGACCTCAAATGAAAGCCTGAAAGACTTCTAGACATCAATGCAATCCTCATACTGGATTTCTCAATATCCTATTTCTGAACTTTCACACTATGTTCTTATTGGACCCCGAGGGAAGTTCCAGAGGTGGATTGAATTTCAAAATTTCATTTCGATTGGATATAAAAAAAGCTCAGGCAGGCCACTAGGCCGCCAAAGCAGATTTCAGTTAGGGTAGTTGAAAACATAAAAATTAACACCACAAGCAAGAATCCATCCCATGAAAATCATAGGGCAAAATATAATCTATCAAAAGAGGACCTCAGCCGGTACCTACAAACCCGACAACAATGAAGGCCTCAGCAAATTCTATCCAAATGGTGGATCAAGACATGAAGAAAGTATTGGAGTACCACAATAGTTTTCCGGTTAATATTATTGGGTTCATACCGCAAGAATATAGTACAACACAATCTCAACCTCAATTCCGCCAAATGGATGTGATGGACAAGAATCCTAGTCCAGTATTATTGGCTAAGGAGTTCGAGGATCATTGAAAAAATGATGTGGAGGTCATGATCTCCAAAAATATTATTGAGGAGGCACGCGGCATTTGAAATAAAATTTATTATAGTTTCATTAGATGACATGGTAGTAGGCAACGCTTTGGGGATATAGGAACTTCAGTGATATTCTGAACGATTGAAAATGATGATAAAGTTGAGACATACTACAAAAGTTTAGAGGAATGCAATCTTAAGATTCAGAGATTCGAAATCCACACAAAGATTGATATAGGGCCAGGTGGTTGTCGATATCAATTTTTCTGGAAGTAGAAGGACCGGCTTAAGGAGCTATCCTATCAAGAGAAAGAACACGTTGCTTAATCTTCTGACTAGATTTCTCAATACATTGGGTGGTGGACAATCTTTGAATATTTTCCGCTTCTGAAAATAGTTTAGAGGAAGAGGAATGGACGCTCAGATCCGCTAAAGGGCGGATGATGACTAAGGATTTTTTGTTACTGAAAGTAAATTTCAAAGCTTTAAAAAAAAGAACAAGGGTTCTCGTCTTGTGGAAGCTTAGACTTTGGAGTGGATTTGGAGAATACCTTGCAGAAAAAAGGATGAAAATGACATATTTAAGCATGGGGAATAAGAAAATAAGGAAGAATGCAGTTGAAAGTGAAAAAAATAGACAAAATCAAGTGCGAGGACACACAAAATTACTCTCTCAGGCTTGAAAGTAGCAGAAACAGAGCCAACACCAATCTGCAATGGTGGAGAAGAAATCCTGCTCCAAATAAGGTTTCTTGGCCTCATGTTCTGCCACTATAGGTGATTTGATGAGGAATTTCTTGGAGAAAAAATAAAATAGATTACAAAAATGTTATACTAAAAATCCGCAAGATTTTGAAAGAATCTCAGAGGAAACAAAGCAATGGGAATAACAGTTAAAATGGCGGATCTGGCCCGATATAAATACATAATCTAAGGAAGAAAAAAGAAATTCCATAACCTTCGGAAAATTTGGAGAAAAAGGTATGACACCCCGACCCGCAAGTCGGCTTCTGTCTTCACTCACTTGCACCTTGGGAGACTTCCCAGGGGTCACTTATCCTTAAATTACTCTAAGGCAAACACGATTAACTATAAAGTTCTTTCACTAGGATTTCCATAAATGAATGTACACATTGTAGACATGAGTAGTCTATTCAATTCATTTAACCTCTAGTCAACTTTGGATGACCTAATACCGGCTCATCTACACATGGGAGTTGGACAAGCTACAACTACAGGGGTATCTCATCCTCCCCCACTTTAGGATGCAACGTCCACGTTGCACTCCAAGGATGGTCAATTGCTAGGCCCGTCAACAGTTCGGTCAACGACTATGGGCTGTCGCAGGTTTGTTCTGATACCAGCTGTGACACCCCGACCCGTAAGCTACATAAAGCCTAGCGTGTCAATATCGTAGACTATAATTGTAGACTGGCCTCACATACCAACACAAGTCCTTCCAGTGCGCTTTTGTCCTCACTTACGCGCACCCTGAGAGACTTTCCAGGGGGTCACCATCCTTAAATTACTCTTGAGCAAACACGCTTAACTTTAGAGTTATTTCGATAGGGCTCCCGAAAAGGAATGTACACATTGTTGACACGAGTAGTCTATTCAATCCATTTAACCTCTAATCAACTTCGGATGGCCTAATATCGGCTCATCCACACATGGATATTGGACAAGAAACAACTTCGGGGGAATCGCAAAAGGTCAGTATTTTAAAGAAGAAGAGACCCGATTTAAAAGAGACCCAAGTGAGGAGTTGAGCCCAAAAGTAGAAAGTGACCCATACAATAAAGTAATCCATAGTGAAGAAATGAAGCCCAAGTTGATCGAGCCTAGCGGAAATACGGCCCAAAGAGGATTTCAATGATCATTTTTAAAGCAGAAAAATCTGCAGCCTTTCGAAAATCATGGTGGAAGAAGATGCAATAACCTATGACTGAGGAATAAAATCATGGTGGAAGAAGATGCAATAACCCATAACTGAGGAATTAGGCCTAAGTTAAGAAAGTCCAGCGGAAGAGCCTAAGAAAATATTATTACGTTAATAATCATAACAAAATTTATCATTTGGATTCCTGATAAATATTTTAAATATTACAATATATACCTACACAATAAAATAAAAATAAAATAATTTACTATAAAATATATTTTAACACTGTTCTTTTTTTTACCTCATTTTTTAAAATAATATATTTTATTGTACCTCACACAAAAACAATTTTAACTCAACAAATACAAATATTTATGCTTATTTTTTAATTTGAAACACATTTCAATATTTTTCAGTCACACGGTTTTTTTTATTTTACAAACCAATTTATGTTAATATTTTATATATATATATATATATTTGTATATATAAAATATATTCTATACATAATGACATTTACATTGTAACTCAATTTATTTTTTATTCAAATGTAAAAAGTCAACTTTCAACCAAAACGATTGTTAAGATGTTGAACAACACATACGGTGATAGTAGAAATACCACGCACTATGTTTGATTTTAGTACAAAGTTACATATTAACACTAACTATGCATGACATAGTTAATATTAGTAAATGATATATGTTATATTATAAATTGACAACAAACATTTATAATCTATACTTGCATGTTATTTTAATTGCAATATTGTTATGTGGGGATAATATTAGTACGTGATGATTAGAAATAAATAATCTTCTTCAACTTCTAACCATTCTCTTTTAAGAATGTAATATCAAGAAATTTTTGAATAGATATGGCTGGGGTTGTTGCTGTAATTCCAAACAGAATATACCAACTACACACAACAAGAAGTTGGGATTTTTTGCAAGTGAATCCTCACTTGAGCCATGGGATTCTTCTAAAAGCTCGGTCTGGAACTGATTCCGTTATTGGCATTCTCGACTCAGGTCGATGATTTCATTTGAATGACCGATTCATCAATTTAGAAATAAACTAAAATTCAGATATCATGTTTTAGGGCAGGAATATGGCCTGAATCGGCGAGTTTTAGAGATGACGGGATGAAACAAGTTCCCGCGCATTGGAAGGGAACTTGCCAAAAGGGACAAGAGTTCGATCCTTCTCATTGCAATAGGTGAAAAACTATAATTCAATTCTTCTTGAGTTTTTATTTTTTATTTTATTTTTATTTTTTTATTTTTATTATTATTATTATTTTTATAATTACTATACATACCTCGATTTTATATAAAATATACTCCCTCCGTCCCACATAATTTGTCCATATTTTCTATTTTCGTCCGTTACACATAACTTGTCATTTCTATTTTTTAAATATAATTATGTACTTTAATCGCATTTTAAATTTTAAATTTTATAACTTTCTTAATTTTAATTAAACTATTTTCTTATCTTAATCTTAATCTATAATTATTTTTACTAAATAATAATTATTTTTACTAATACACTTCTTAATTATTTACTAATTATATTTTACCTAAATTCTCGTGTCTACAGTAATACACGCATATTATTGTCCAACATTATTGACATCAAATCCCCCAAACCAAAATGTATTGTTTGGCTATATTCAATGGGTCACACACACACACACACATATATATATATATATAAACACTTTCATAAAAATTTTACTATATTTGTTTGTATTTTTTTAAAAAAATTTATCTTCATATTATTCAATCAATTTTATTTTCGAAAAAAGAAGACTTTAATACATATTGTTATATACTATATTACATCGAATACTTTATATTAAATACTTATGTTTTATCTATATTTTTAGGATGAGTTTAATATATAATATGTATGTTATAAGTATGTGATATATATATTTATATATATATATATATAGCATTATAGAAGTCTTAAACGTACGGATAAAAAAGAGAAATTTTTCGAAAAAAATTTATGCATAAAATAGGAGATTATATAATAAATTTTATATATTTTTATTAAAAACGAGTATCATACATAGGTTTTAATCCATCCTAGCAATTTTTAACTAAAACAATTGTTTGAATCCGTTTAGAAAAATAGCTTGTGGAATTTGATGGGTTTGAAAACTTTTTAAAATAATAAAAATTAAGTATTGTTATGTAATATAAGTAATATATATGTATATATAATAATAATATATGTATAAATATATAAATGTAGATATAGAAAAAGTATTGTGTGTATGTATGTTTCAAAGTGTGGGGGTGCGTTTAAATTTGAGATAAGGGAAAGAGTAAGGGGGAGAGAATGTGCATGCGAAATAGAGAGCAAAATTTCATTTATTTTCATAATAATTCAAATACCTATTTACAGGCTTACAATTGAGGCAAGTAGTTGTGTGATGTAGCTATTAAATGACACATGATATAATTAAATAATGAGTCATAACATTCCTCTTGAGGTGTTATTGATTGCAATGAATACGCTACGTTAAAATTTTATCAGAAAAGAAATTCAGTGGAAAAAATTTAATGAAAGAAAAATAGTACGTAGTTTATGGATTAAAATTACTCTTCCTGATATGGACATTATTTGAAATCTCGCCACCGATATATCACGATGTTCTTTAACAATTTCTGAAACATTGCAATCGGTAAAGCCTTGGTCAATAAATCTCGTAAATTATCATTTGATCGAATCTGTAGCACATCTATTTCACTATTTTTTTTAAGATCATAAGTAAAAAAAAATTTCGGTGAAATATATTACGTTCTATATCCCTTAATATATCGTCCCTCAGTTGTGTTATACAAACTGCATTATCTTCGTATAAAATAGTAAGAGAATTATTAGTTTCAGATCTCAAACCACATTTTTTAAAATATGGCGAGGCATTGATCTCAACTAAATACATTATCGACTAGCCCATGAATTGCTATTATTTCAGCAATATTTGAGGCTGTTGCGGTTAATGTTTAGTGGATCTTCAGAATACCACAATACCGTCACATATAAATATATAGCCAGTTTGAGACTTGGATTTACGTGGGTCAGAAAGATACCCAGCATATGTATATCCACTCCATTCATGTCGCAAATTCTTTGAATATAATAAATCAAGATCAATTGTTCATTGGAGATAACAAAAATATATTTAATTCCTTTAAAATGTCGTTGAGTTGGCATTGCATTAAATCTTACTAACAAATTTACATAAAATACTATATCTGATCTTGTACTTTTAGCCAAATACATCAGTGCATCAATAACACTTAAATATGGTACTTGAAGACCAAATACTTCTTCACTCTCTTCTTTTGGTCTAAAAGGAATATGATCAAGAGTTTTAATGAACATTGAAGTACTTAATGAATGTGTTTTATCCATTGTAAATCGTTTTAATACCTTTTGGGTATATGCAGATTGATGGATCAAAATTTTATTTTCCAAATGTTCAATTTATAGACCAAGTTAGAATTTTGTTTTCCCGAAATCCTTGATTTCAAACTCACTTCTCAAATATTCAATAGCTTCTTGGACCTCTTCAAGGGTTCCAATTAAGATCAAATCATCCATATAAAAAACTATTATCACAAAATATCTCTCATTTTTCTTTATAAAAACACATGGACAAACATAATTATAGGCAATTCCCTCTTTGAATAATGATTCACTGAGAGGATTATACCACATGCGATCAGATTGCTTAAGCTCATATAAAGTTTTTTATAATTTAATAGAATAATATTATTTTGGCTTTGATTTGTATGTTTTATGAATATTGAAACTTTCAAAGATTCTGATATAAATATCAGTAACTAATGAATTATATAAATAAGCAGTTACTACGTCAATCAAATGCATATCCAAATTTTTATGAGCAGCCAAACTTACGAGATATTGAAATATTATTTAATCAATTACTGGAGAATATGTTTCATTAAAATCAATTACAGATGTTTGTCAAAAACCTTGGGCGACAAGCCTTGTTTTATATATGGAAATTTTATTATTCTCATTTTATTTTTGAACAAATACTATGTAGGTAATTAGGGTTTGTCTGTTTAGTGTTTTTATTTGAATTATATTTTTTATGTGAGGTATAATGAATTGTGTAGATAATATAAAAATAATATTTTATATTGAATGTTAATTTTTTATGATATTATACATTATATACATTCAGAATTATGTGAAAAAAAAAAAAAAAAAAATTTCTTGGAAAGGTAAACCCATATAACTTCAACGTTATAACTTTTTTTTTATAGGAAAATTATCGGTGCACGTTGGTATATAAAAGGGTACGAGGCGGAGTTCGGGGAGCTTAAAAACGAAGACGGTATGGAGTTCCTATCGCCACGAGATGCCGAAGGTCACGGCACTCATACGTCTTCTATTGCCGCCGGCATTGACGTAGAAAACGCGAGCTTTTTAGGACAAGGCCGAGGAACCGCCAGAGGAGGTGCGCCGTCCGCGAGGTTAGCCGTGTACAAGGTTTGCTGGGCGACCGGTGGTTGCAGCTCCGCAGACATTCTGGCAGCATTCGACGACGCCATCCATGATGGAGTCGACGTAATATCCATGTCTCTTGGCTCCACGCCTCCTCTCGCAACATTCGTCGATGATGCCGTTTCCATTGGCTCGTTCCATGCGACAGGAAACGGAATTCTGGTTGTGTGCTCGGGTGGAAATAGCGGTCCGTTTCCGGAGACCGTCGGGAATACCGCCCCTTGGGTGATCACGGTCGCCGCCAGCACTATAGATCGTTATTTCCCCGTTACGATGACCTTAGGAAACAATCAAACGGTTTCGGTACTCAAATTCTATAGTTTTGTTTACACAATACACTTTCACTATTCATTTTTAAAAAAACATCAAATAAAATACTAACTTTTTATTTTTTTCAAACTTCCAAAAACCTCTTAAAGCGAAATTTAAACGGTTAAACTACTATAGTGTTCTTTTGTAGGGTCAATCGCTATACATGGTGACATATCTTAATGAATTCTACCCAATAGTGTACGGTGAAGACATAACAAGGGATGATGCCGATGGGGTCGATGCAAGGTAAGACAACTTCTTGTAAGAATTTGGATGGTCGAACATTGGGCAATTCGTTTTAAACTCGGTATAGAAGTTGTACTTCAGGATCATTGAACGCTACGTTAGCCAAGGGGAAGGTCCTTCTTTGCTTCGAAACACGGACACAAAGATCCGCCGCCGCAGCCGCAAGGGCGGTGAATGAAGTTGACGGCGTCGGCCTTGTGTTTGCCAAGTACCCGACTAAGGAAGTTAACTTGTGCTTGGACGTCCCGTGCGCCCAAGTGGACTTAACTATCGGGACATCGTTGCTTTCTTACATTGCGACGACGAGGTAACTATTCTTAGGATTCGTAAATCCTAAATCGATTTTATCGCCGTAGAGACTATACACATTTTTTTATTACAGCGACCCCGTTATAAGATTTAATGTTCCAAAAACGGAAGTCGGGCATCAAATTGCCCCAAATGTGGCACTCTTTTCGTCAAGAGGACCGAACTCACTCTCTCCTACGGTGCTAAAGGTAAACAAATAATTAATACTCTCTCTATTATTCAAATTTATATTTACTTTTCTATTTGATTTTCCATAAAAGTATATTTTTGTTTCTCTTCTTACTAAAAAAAAATTTATGCCAAAAAAATTGAGCACATATCAAATAATACGAGTACAATAAAAAATGTGTCCGGACATGTCTCTACTAATTGTAGCCGGATATCGCTGCTCCCGGCGTTAACATTCTTGCCTCATGGTCGAGCGCTTTAGCCGCACAACCCTCTGGGGGCTTCAAGGAGGGAAACGATTACCCGTTTAAATTCAAATTTGCTTCGGGTACCTCGATGGCTTGCCCTCATGTCTCGGCCGTTGCGAGCCTCTTGAGGACTATTCATCCCCAATGGAGCCCCGCCGCGATTAAATCTGCTATAATCACAACCGGTACGTACTTCTTTGACTTTGCTCTATAATATAATGCAATAAAAAATGTCTTTAATTATTGTAAAAGCGCATTTTTTTTAATGGTTTTAGCTTCTTCCACCGATGAATATGGTTATGCTACATTAGCGGAAGCATCTCCGCACAAGAAAGCCGATCCTTTCGACTACGGCGGAGGTCATATCGATCCCAATAGGGCTATCGACCCTGGTTTGATCTATGACTTGGGTTCGAAAGATCATGCTCAATTCTTATGTGCATCGGGCTATAACGCGACCGCGATTGGTTCACTCACCAAGGCTAACGAGCCATGCTCAAAAATTAAAAATTTTCTTACTAATTATAATCTTCCAGCGATCGTTGTACCAAAATTACATAGAAGTTTTATTGTGTCCCGACTCGTAACAAATGTTGGCCCAGATTTCTCGATCTACACGGCGAGGATCGAAGCTCCGGCTGGCGTGGACGTCGTAGTCGAACCTTCGGTCTTGGTTTTTACAGTTGGGGTGAAAAAGCTTAGGTTTAAAGTAAAACTTTGCTCGAAGATAAGAGCTATGGGGAGCTATTCTTTTGGTAGTCTGATTTGGGAAGACGGATTTCACGTTGTAAAAATTCCTTTGGCGGTTAATTTCGTTGTTTGAGATTAAAATTATCTTGTTTTTATTTAGGCATGTTTACGATTAACAAGATGTATGTTCTTTTTGTGCTTTGGGTGCTTTGATTTATGTTAATTTATTAAATAAAATAGTTTTTAAATGTTATATTTTTTTTTTTATAATATATTATTATTGAGAATTATTATAACATAGCCGAGCATAGGGATGATGATTCGAGTGTATCTTGTTCTAGTTCTGCTTATGCTAATTGGGCAGATTTAGGTTTGAAATTTAGGGTGTTGTTAGCTGATTTTACTGGCTGATTCAGTTAGCGGTTTGTATTAAAGTATTTTGGTAAAATAACTGTTTGACATTAGTTGTTTATACATAAAATGACTATTAAGAATATTGATATGTTATTCTTTTACAATATTTAATTTTGTTCATTTTGATTTGAAATTTATGAGAATTTTTGTTATTAATTATTAAAAATTATAAAAATATGATAAAATATTTATTTTTATTTTTATTATTTAGATTTGTAAAAATTATTTTTACTAAAAAATAATAATTTTTTATTGAAATTATATAAAATATAAAATAATAAATCTTTCGTGTATATATATATTTATTATGTTAATTATTGTTTTAATATATATAAATAAATTAATAACCTTCGTTTTTTCTATTTGATTTAGTTTTAAAATTTTATATATTTTACAAATAAAATAATTTATATATAATAATTAATAATAGTAATTATTTTAAATTTATAAAAATAAAAATATAATTTAATAAATTAAATATATTAACAATAATTAATAAATACTGCTATAAAAATATATTTATTTTTTGTATAAAATAAATAATTATATTTAAAAGGTAAATAAGGAATAACCAAAATTAAAATAAAAAAGCTCTTTCAAAACGCTGGTTAGACGAACTTTTCAAAAATTAGCTTTTTGGGTCCAAAAAGCTCTTTCAAAAAGCTAATTTACCAAATATCTAAATTAGCTTTTTAACTGATCAAACAACTAAAAACTCTTAAAAAAAATTGTTTCCCACACACCCTCTTAATGTCTGAAGCGATTATAGATTTTAAGAATTTAAATCCGGCTAGGTTTGAAGCAGGTTATGAGTTTGCTCAAACACTTGTCCCAAACCGGGTTAAATAAATAATTTATAAAATTAATATTATATATTTCTATAATTATTCATATTACCATAATATATAATTTTATATATTTCTCGTTTTCACTATTTTTATTTTTCAGTTTTTTCATATTTTGAATTTATTTATCTTTCATCTTATAATTCTTTTCATACTAAATATATACTTCATTCGTCTCATAACAATTGATATACTTCATCCATCCAACTATAAAGTATACGTATTTCTATTTTGGGACGTTCAATTACAAAGTAATCATTTTATTAAATACTCCAATTTTTTTCATAAATACACTTACTTTACATCACATCATTACTTTTATACCCAAAAAACAATGGCAAAAATGTCACTACACTATTTTTAACTAATCACTATAATTAAAATACTATTATTTCTTAATCACCACGCCAAAAGTAAATATTTACTTTCTACGTAGACGGAGGGAGTATTTTTTATTTTTGTATGTTTTATAACAATTGACACATTTCTATTGTTGATAAAACTTACTTAATTAAAACATACTTAACAAATATAAATCGATTTAATTAACTACATAGCATATAACATCATACATCATATGGACTTATTCAAAACTCTTTTATTTCTATCTCTCTCGTATAGAAATAAATATTTTTTTTATTTATATTTAAAACTCCCCATCTTTTATAAAATTAGTTTATGTTAATTATAAATAAATATAAAAGTATCTTTTTATTTACTTGTATTATACAAAATTTTTTATTTTCTACAAAATTATATCCATATGGTATATTGCGATATAATTTTTAAAATAATTAAGTACATATTCTAATTTTTTTAATCATATATATTAAATTTATTTTAAAACTATCATAATTATTAATTACATAAAAAATAATAGAATAATTTCATACTATTATTAACTAATTAAACATCACTGTCTTAAATACCGTGTCTCTAATAAAAGCGGTCAATTAGATTGTTAAGTATTTAATATTTGAATTTTTATCCTATTATATTAAATGTCCCATAAAAAGAAATATATATATATATATATATATATTTATTATAAAACAAAGCGAATTTCGGATTGGCACAAACTCAACGGGTTTAAGGCGGACATGTTTTGGGGTGTACAAAATCCATCTAGAACCTGTCCATTGTTATCTTTAGCTAGGGGTGAGTATTTGAATTTTCGGTTCTGATCCGAAAATTTAAAATTTTTGAAAAATTCAATCCGAAATAACCGAAATTCGAAAATTCGTGATCCGAACTAAAAAATCCGAACCAAACCGAAAAATCCGAAATTCTAAATATTTTTATTATTATTTTTTTAAATTTTTAAATTCTTTTATATTTTATTATTATTTTATAATATTAAATATATATAATAATATATAAAAATTAAATATATTAAAATATAATTTAATAAATTTGAGTTTTTTATATTAAAATATAATATTTTCTAATAAAATATTAAATATATATAATAAAAAAATCTATAAAATATTATATTTCGGATTTCGAATTGGTTCGGATTTTAAGTATATCGATCCGATCCGATCCGAAAATCCGAAAATCCAAAATTTGTTAAAAATTCAATCCGATCCAATCCGAAAATTCGAAAAATCCGAACTAAATTTTAAATTTCTGTTTGGTTCGGATTGGATTTTCGGATTTCGAATATTTTGCTCACTCCTATCCTCAGCTAAATAGTACATGTGTTAATTAGTCAGTCTACTGTTAATAGTGTGTTTTTTTGTATTATACTAACATAATTCATATGTTTTCTATCTTTATAAATAAGATGATTGAACTTCAACCATCTAGGATCAAGGCCAACCCTTGGCTTGGGCGAGAGGGGCTCCCACCCAGGACCCAATACAAATAATGATATTATATATTTATATTATATATATGTATATATATATATGATATATTTGATATATCTTTAGTGTTATATATGATTGTTTAATGGTATAAGAGTGGATGTGCAACCTATGAATCATGAGTTCAAACTTTACACATTTCATCTACGGGGCAAAATTATGAATACAATGATAAATATTGGTATATTTGGTTAGTAATTTTTTATTTGTTTTTGTTGTCATAACAAAATCGCCACCGACAGTTTAATTGAAAAAGCTTGTCAGAATTGATTTGTTCAAAGAGTTTCTCAGCTTCCTCAAGAAAGGATCCGGGCTATTTCGCGATCAACAATTACTTAATGTAATAAATAAGGCTGATAAAAAAGAAAGAAAACTGAAAATTAAATTGGAATTAATGGAAGAAAACTGTAAAAATTTTAAAAGAAAAATACAGTAAAAATTGCAGAGAAAAGTTTAAATGAAGAAGAAGATGATGATTCATGTTGAATGGCGTCCTGCATGTCTTCTATGATCTTCTCCACTTTTAATCTTGTGATTTTTTGAATTCTTTGGATAAACTTGTATCCCCACTTTTTCTCCAACAACTCCAACCTTTTTGCCTTATCCATTCAGTTGCTTCTAATTTGCGTTGGGTTGCCTTTTAATTAAGTTGGGTCGACGGCCAAACAAATGTTGGGCCACCGGCACCTCCGGACCTACACCTGTATTGGGCCGACCCAATTAATTATTTAGGCGTGTACAAATGCCCCCCACAAACTTTATCTGGACAGAAGTTTACCTGTAGTCCGGATAATTTGTTAAAACTCCCCTATGTTTGAATCGACTGGTGAGCGCAAGTCTTGGATCTCCCATCATAGCCAATCCGCGTTGGATCATGCCGAACACCAAGGTTATATTACCTCCAAGATCTCATTTTCACTGCTATGTTCACCTTATAGTTACTCATTGTTAGCCAACATCCAAGATCTGTGTTTGGGAAGGTCAACTTCTACTTATTCGGCCTGTCCAACAATGTTTTCGCCTTCCGTACGGTCGTAGTCAACCACAACTTGATTGTGCTTTCCTTTCAGCTCCAAAAGAGAATGATAGAACTTTTTAAATATCTTCAATTGAGAAATGTCTTCAGCTCCTCATCTTTGGGCTCCATCAATCTATATGCATCGTTAGGTGACTTGGCCGATGTGATAAACAGCCCTTCCCATATGGGGGACCATTTCCCGAGCTTACATCTTTGGGGCATTCCGGAAGGACGGCCTTCCAGACCGTGTCACCTTCTTGGAAGGTGTGAGGCCTCATGCGCTTATGGAAGGTCGATTCGGCTTTCTTCTTTTGATGTCGAATGCGTTCAAGAGCCTGCAGTCTCTCTTCAGGTAGGGCATCGAGCTCTTGGAGCAAGGTCCGGTCCTACTCTCCCATCAGCAGCTGTTTCAACTTCAAGATCCAGAGAGAAGGCACTATAATCTCCAACGGATGCACAACGTCATGGCTGTAGGTCAGCCTATAAAGAGTTCTCCCAGTTACAGAGGATTTAGCATTCCGATATGCCCATAAAGTCTCTTCCAAAGTATCATGCCAGCCGCTTGGGTTGTCCTCCAACGCATTTTTTTATAATGTAAATCAAGATTTTGTTTTCCGTCTCGACTTGCCCGTTAGCTTGAGGATAGTATGGAGAGGAATGGAGCAGCTGGATTCCGTATTGGACTGTAAAAGCCTTGACCTTCGCGCTTATAAACGCGGTCCCTTGGTCAGTGGTTATCGTCTTTAGAATGCCAAACCTATGAATGATGTTATTCTTAATAAAGCGTATGACATGATTATGTTGTACCTTGGCTAATGGAACGACTTCCGCCCACTTCGTGAAGTAGTCCGTGGCTACGAGAATAAAAGAATGCCCCTTGGAAGATAAAGGATGGATCTTGCCGATGATGTCCATCGCACACCCACGAAAAATCCAAAGTTTAATAGTCGAATGAAGTTCTTCTATGGGGACTCGTCGAAGTAGTCCATGACGCTGACATGCTGGACATCCTCGAGCATAATCCACGCAATCCTGCGAGATTCATGGCAAAAATAGCC